CCTCCAGCAGTGTTCTTTCCGTTGAGGAGTGTTTTTGCTATTCGGGGTCTTTTATTGTTCCATATGAATTTTTGGATTGCCTCTTCTATTTCCTACTCAACAAAATTTTGAAATGGACCTTTTCATACCACCTAATGATTCATATTTTTCAGAATGCAGTCTCTCTAATTCGTGTATCCGCTTAACACCCTGGTACAGTGTTAGAGAAACACTTAACACTGCCTGTCCATCTGGACTCCCTCTTTGCTCAGTGACCACGGTTTCCCAGCAGCGCTGAAGCAGGGTGATCCTGGTATTGTGTACTTCTATACCCAGCCATATTTGTGTGTAGCTTTCTGTTACAGTACTGAAGAAGTTTGTTACATTAGCTTATTTTGCTTTTAAATTACAAAGAAAGAAAGGAGGGATGAAAGAGATAGAAAAAGAAAGAAAGGGAAAGAAAGAGTTACAGTAGCACTAAGTTTCTTGATAGGATATTAAACAAAACAAATCTCCAATTGGTGCTATTCATAATTTCATGATTTTTAAAAAATAGATCTTTTAATAAATATAATTTGTTATTATTATGGTATTGTACAGAGAGGTCACTGTTTCATAAGTCGGATAGTGAGTACATTTCTGGTTTGGACAGTGTTGCTCCTTTCTTTCCTTTCCCTGTTTCTCCTCCCATCTCTGCCTACAAGTTGCATAGTTCATTTTCTATAGTTTACTGAATACCATGAGTGCATTTGTCCCCCCTTCCTCCCTCTCTTTCTGTGCTCCCCTTTAGCCCCCCAAAATGACTAAAAAGCAAAACAAACACCAACAACAACACAGTGCAACAACAACAAAAAAAAAACAACACCATGTTTCCAAGTCCTTGAATTTGTTTCCATAAATAGTACTTTAAATGTTCCGAAGAGTTACGCCTTTGTGTTCTTCCCGTAAGGGTTCCTCCTCTAGTTTGTGTGTGAATCCATACAGTCTTGTATAAGTTATCATGTCCAGTTGTGTTTTAAATCTAACTTCCATATATGAGAGAAAATGCACTGTTAGTCTCTCTGAGCTTAACTTTCTTCACTTTTTTTGTTGTTGTTGGTCGTGGGGCCTGAACTCTGGGCCTGGGCGCTGTCCCTCAGCTCTTCAGCTTAAGGTTAGTACCCTACCACTTGAGCCACAGCACCACTTGTGGCTTTTTCTGCTTATGTGGTGCTGAGGACTCGAATCCAGGGCCTCATGCGTGCAAGGCAAGCACTCTACCACTGAGCCACCTTCCCAGCCCTTACTTCACTTCTAACATAATTTATTCTAAATCCATCCATTTCTCTGCAAATGGCATATTATTCTTTCTGATGAATGAGTCAAATTTCAGTTATATGTACCACTTTTTTTTAATTCACTCATCTGTTGTAGGGCATCTGGGTTGTTTCCATAACTTGGCTATTGTGAATAGGTAAGTGCCTTCCATACCATATCCTGACTTGTAATATTCTGGATAGAAGTCCAAGTGTGGTATGTCTGTCTGGGTAATAGGGAGGGTCTATATTTATTTTTTTTAGGACTCTTCAGACACAGAGTGTTTGGAGTGTACAGAGTGATTGTACATAATGTACATTCCACCAATAGTACAATAGGGTTCCTTTTTCCCCATCTCCACCAGCATTTGTTGTTATTTGAATTTTTGATGTTGGCCAATCTGAGATGAGATGGAATCTCGGTGTTGTTTTGGTTTTCATTTCCTGCCTGGCCAGCGTTCTGGCCAGCTGAGCATCCTCTCATGTGTTCATTCACCACTCTTCCTCTGAGAAACCTCTCGGTAGCTCCTTTTCCCATGTATTGATTTTCTTATTAGGTTTTTGGGTAGAGGTTAATTTTTTGATCTCCTTATACATTTCAGGTATTAGAGCTTTATTGAATGTATTGCTGGTGAAAATCTTCTAGTCTGTTGGCTGTCTTTCTAGTTTGGTACCTATGTCCTTTGCTGTGCAGAAATTTTTTATTTTGATGAAATCCCATAAAATAGATCTCAAAGTAGTTAAGTTGTCTAAGGATACTTAACTGGAATATCATAACTCCATATCAAAATCACAACTATTTTCAAGAATGTTCTAGTATGTAGTTCTGTATGTTCTAGAAACCTTAAACATTTGGAGTTGAGCTGTCAGTATGTGAGTACATGTTTTAAATGTCTTAACTTTACAATTTCCATGGTAAATAACTTTCTTATTTCCCATCCCAGACCATGTCTCACATGAAATGGGCCGAAGGAATCTAGTGAGCTAGTTGTTGATGTGAACTTTGTCACCATTGGGAATATGCTGTTTCGAAGCAAGTTCCTTAACCATGTTCTGTCTTTTCTCATCCTCAACGTGACTCACAGGGTTTTAATTTTTTGTACAAGCTGTTCAAATAGAGTCAAGGTGCAGAACTGAAATACAGTTTCCCTTGGTAATTTCTACTAGAATGGACTGAAGATGCTGGAAATTTGTGGACATCCATTCGGTTAAGCATTTTTGATAAGACCACAGGTGCTCCTGTGACTCGGGTTCACCCTCCTCTCCCCCCCTCCCCAGCTACATAGAAGAGTTTTAATGCTTTAATGTTTAATGCGCTTCCAGAAAGAAAGCCTTATCTACTTCTTTCCTGCATGACAGTGTAATTCAGAACCACAGTGAAACCTCTTCATTGCTTTCGGGCACACTGGCACATAGTGACACGGGTACAGAGCAGTGTGGTCACCTCGTCAACAGGCGAAGTTGCAGTCTTATCAGGACCAGCAGTTGAAGCATTAATGAACTGCATTCTGAAGGTTGAAATAGTGGGAAACAAAATTATGAGCTTATCCTGCACGACAACTTCATTGACCAAAATTCTAAGGCAAAAATGGATTGTGCAAAGTTAGAGTGGAGGGAGCCCTGTGATTATATCAAGTAATTGATGGGGCTTTTATGTTTTTACAGACCTTTCACCAATTGTCTAATTCAATAGAATTTATTTATTTTAAAAGTTTACACATCCTTTCTTATTTTGGTCCCTACTAACAGGCAGTTTTATATGATAAACACAGTAGGTATTGATAAATCCTACTGCTAATTCTGCATTAAAGATTACTATTTCAATTGAAGATTCCATGAAGATGAATAGGAGTTTTTCTTTTTTTTTAGATTATGCCTTTTATTAATTCATACACAATCACTTGTCTTCTGGCTTGTTGAAACAGTAAGTGAGACCACGCTTGCCACAGTAATGCCTGTCCACGTGGCGAGCCGTGAAACCCAGCACCACATTCATCTGAAGGGCATTCTCGACGAAGACGGCTAATTTTGCCATTTTCATCCACCGTGTAGTATTTCAGGACAGCCAATTGAAACTTCTTTCTCTTATGCTTATTCTTCTTAGGAGTGGTGGTGTAACACTTCTTCCTTTTCTTAGCACCACCCCGAAGTCTCAATACTAGATGAAGAGTGGACTCCTTTTGGATGTTGTAGTCAGATAAAGTTTGTCCATCTTCCAGCTGCTTACCAGCAAAGATCAGTCTTTGCTGATCAGGTAGCATTCCTTCCTTATCCTGGATCTTGGCCTTTACATTTTCCATAGTATCCGAGGGTTCAACCTTGAGTGTGATGGTTTTCCCCGTAAGGGTTTTAATGAAAATCTGCATCCTGGCGGTGGTCCCACCGCTGATGGTAGATCGGAAAAAGCAGGAGATGTTTTTCAAACTATGAGGGAAACTTAGATATATTGGTTAATTATCTTTGAAATTAGTTCAAACTAAAGTATTATATATTATTATGCTTTCACAATTTCATTCATTTATGTTTGTAATAGGTAAAATGACTACTGTGTAAGTTTTCTTTATTTCTTTAGCTTTTCTAAAGTCATTTTAAACTGACGTAATGGCTGCAGAATAAAAAGTCTCTTCAGTCCTTCATCTAACTTCGCCAAATGTTAGCAACGTACAAGCATAGGAAAACTTCAGAGGCCAAAGAAATTAACATTCATATCATACTGTTGTACTTCACTGTGTTCTCTGTTCAGAGCCTGTCAGTTTTTTCATTCACATCCTTTTCTTTTTCAGGGTTTAGCCTAGGGGTCAGCACTCCCTGTGTTTGTTATATCTTCGTAGTCTTCTGCTCATGAAAGCCTTTTGGTCTTGTATAATCTGGACACTTCTAGAGAGCTTTGGTGTGAGGTCTGGATCTGCAGATGCCTCTACTAGAAATGGACTCATTTCCATTTTTAAACAATGTATGTCTGTGGGAAAATAAGCTCAAATTCTGCAAATAGACTATTTCTCCTCAAATATTTGCCCATTAACTTTGATATTCATTAGAAGATTTCACCTGAATAAAAACCTGTGTTTTCCAAATGATGACTTAATTTGTTCTCCTTTAAAGAATTAGAATTCTATAGTGTCTTTTCTTTCTCTCTGAAAAGCATATTTGTTCTACTGATTTTTATCAGTATAGATTTATTTGATTCTGTGACTTATAAATCAGAACCATTGTGATTTATTTTCTAACTGAAGATTTAGTTCACTATTAGATTTTTTTTTAGGTGGGATCACATCCTTGGATGTGCCTCTCTCCTCTTGTGAGCATCTTTTTACTTCCTTTACTAGTGTGCTCTGGTACTCTCTTAGACCTAACATGGGCCACTTTTTTAAGGAGCTGGTTTCCTTTTATTTGAGAGTGGCGTATATAAACCAGTACTGTGTGTTCCTGTTGTTTCTCTGTTCCTCCGATTCTATGCCTTCTTAGCAGGAAGACTAGGCATGTGTATGTACACTGATTATTGCTTTCTCACAAATATCCATGGTTTTAAAATCTTTTGTACCACAAACTACAAAAGAGAAATAACCTGAGCTTCAACAGTATTTTAGAAATTAGTGTGTCAAAGACACCATCAAGAAAAAGAAAGGGAAATCTATAACCTGGAGAGAATGCTTCCCTTATCTGGAAAGCCATTTTCCAGAGAAGCCTTCACATGTCTAATAAGCTCACAGAAGTATGTCCATTGTTGTTCACTGGGAAGATGAAAATCAGATCCAGGTGAAACACTGCATCTAAGTTGCTTATTCTTTGGGGCAGTTATAAATAGGGCTGCTATATATATTCATATACAGGGTTGGTTTTTTTTTTTCGTAAAGAGAAGATATCTAGAAACAAGAAGCTTGTATTATATGGTTTGTGCATATTTAACTTTTTAAGAGCACTGCCAAATTATTTTGCAAAGTGGCTTTACATTTTTTTTCTACCTATAACATCAGTCTTTTTTACTCAGCATCTTTATTTACACTTCTTATTACCAATATTTCAATCCATTCTTTTGAGTGTTCCATGGTGTCCTAACCTTTTAATTTTTCTTCTTATTCATCACTAATTATTATGATTTGGATGGGAATTGTTCCCCAAGAAGGCTCATCTGTCCAGTGCTTGGTCCACAGTGGGTGCATCTAATCCTTGAGTGGTAATTAGACCCTGACACTTGTCACTTCATCGGGGGTCAGTCCGTTGATTTCTTAGTGAATGGGCTATTAGGAGAGGTCTTACTGGAAGGTGATCACGGATAGCGTGTTTTGGAAAGAACTCCCTAGCGCTGTTCTCTTTCTGACTTTCTGCTTAGTTGAAAGCTCTGCCATCCCACCATCAGGCTGGATGAGTGGCCCAGTGGTGAGGCCAGGAGTCCTCTGAAACCATGAAGAGAAATGAATCTTTCCTCCTTTTAAATGGTTTCTCTCAAATCAACAGTGACAAAAGTCTGACCAATGTACTGACGATGGTGAGCGTCAATTCAGATGTGACTTGAAGTGCTTTGCTCCCTTTTCCCTTGGAAATAAGTTCATAGTATTTTTTTTAATGTTTTGACATGAGACCTTTGTCAGAAATACAGTGAGAAAATATTTTCTCTTGTCCTTTTTCACTCAACAGTGTCTTTCACAGGCAAAAGTCTATAATATTCTTCCAATTACTGATTTTTTTTTCCTTTCTGGGTGCCAGTGGCTCACGTTTACAATCCTAGCTACTAATGATCTTTGGATCATAGTTTGAAGCCAGCCCAGGCAGGAAAGTGTGAGATTCTTATCTCCAATGAACCAAAAAAATACCAGATATAGAGAATTTTTTATGGCCTTTGATACAGTAGTTAAAATACTGATAAAAAATACTCTTTTTTCTAGAAACCTTTTGCTTTTACATATACCATTTATTTGTGTGATTCATTTTGAGTTATATTTTGTATAATGTTTGATATCTAAGCCGAAATTCTCTTTTCTGCATAAAGGTGTCATTTGTTAAAAGCACTATGTTTCCTCTTTTGAATAGTCTTCGCACTTCTGTTGAAAGAAAGTCAGCAGTATTTCTTTGGGTCAGTTTCTTTGCTCTATATTAGCATCACAATTTTTAAAAATTAAGTGTACATGAGTTTTAAATTTTACCCTTAAAATGTCATGGTTGAATACTTGTATTTTCCTTCAATGTTATTCCTCCTCTTCAGTATTCTGTTATCTAATTTAAACTCATCAAGAATGTCAGATTTGTCACTGTCTTTTTTTCTTCTCTTGAATGACTTGCTTACTGAGCTTACTATGCTATTCAAAAAATCTTATGGACAAATGATATGTGAGATATGTATGAGAATATAATGTACCTAGTAACTTGCTCTCTGCTACCCTTTTATACTATTGAATAAGAAGCTATTTTCATTGTTTATGATGTAATTCCTTTCGGGTCAGTTTTGGCAGCATAATTAATACTTACCTAAGTCATGTTTCTTATTGATTAACCAGTCAAAAGTCGTTAAATACTTCTGAAAAAATGCTGTTGTGCAATTCCACTATTGTGTGACCATCACAGAGTGTGGTTACACAAACTAAAATACTGTAGCCTTCTACATTACTACCTACCTAGACTACATGCTGCATCTACATCATTATATCTATTATAACATATTTCTCCTATATGATGAATGAAATAGCATGATATTAAATCAGTCATAAAAGCTTTCAATCAAGAGATTATTTTAGCATGTATATAAATGGAATCACACTGTAGTTGTCTGCTGTAATGAGCTTATTTCATTTAACAGTGTGCCTAAGCCTGGTCTTTGTCAAGACCTGTTTCTGAGTTTCTTTCCTTTTAGGGTGAAATGTATCACAGTTCACAATAACTATAAATACCAAAGGCAATCACTTCAATCTTTTCTCTTATTTTCTATACATACCTGTATTAGAAGATTCTTAAATAAGTATCTTGGGTGGTAAGGATGGCTTTCTGATAGTGCTCAGATGGGTGAAGGTGAAAAGGCTAAACATTCAATACAGCACTTATACAAATAACAAACCAAAAAGAAATTATATGGCATATATTTATAAGCACCTGAAGCATATAAATCATTAGAATAATTTTTAAAAATTAACTTATTGTTGAAAAGTAAGAACAATATTTGAACTTACAAACTTGCTTACTTTATTTTCTTTTTTTTCCAAAGTAATGATAAAAACACTTAGAGATATATTCTTTTAATAGATGATAATCCATCATTGTAAAGTAGTCTGTTGAATCACATAATAGCTTTTACTGCAGCAGAAGAAAGCGTAGGCCCCAACTTGATAAAACAGTATTTTTGATGGCTGGTCTAGATCCATCTTAACAAGCTCTGCTCAGACATGTTCGCTCTCGTCACAGCTATTAGTGCCATTTGTTGAGTAGCGTGTCAGAGTGATTGGCAGGAAGTCATTCTCTCTTCTTGTAAGAAATCATAATTTTAGTGCATGCTTAAAATAAAAACCTGGCATAAGTGATTTCCTGTTTATAAAAGAAAAGGGCAAGTCTTTTTTGCAAGGGGCATAGATTAATTTAATCACATTGCATGAAATATAAATTATTTTTGAAAAGGAACTCTTTTGGGGAACCAAGTTCCAGGATTTGCTTTACATTCCTAGTCTGGTTTCACTACATCAGAGTGAAATACAGTGCAGGTTTCCTTTCAGATGTTAGCCAGGGACCAATCTGGATTTCTTTTGTCTTAAAGAGAATCCATGTCTTAAATAATGAAATAGCCTTTTGCATTTAAGTTGCGATCAGTCTCAGTGAAAATGATTGAAACAACTCAATAAATTAAATTTGTGAAAAACATACCTGGCATCTATTATGGGCTTTTCATGTATTTAATTAATAAAATATATAATTGAAATTACTCTGTCTTCTGTCTTCTAATTAGTGATGTAAATAGGTGCTGCTCATGATAGATAAGGGTCAAGATTCCGTGTTAACATAGGTCCCCTGGATTGTTGACATACTGTGCATATTCATGTACATCCACATTATTCTTTTGCTAGTTTATCCTTCATATTTTCTTGATCTGAAACAACACTCCAGACTCATAACATCTCCCAATTAAGTAGTTAAATTCCATACTTTAACATTTGTGTGTATGTGCGTGCACGCATGCCGGTCCTGAGGCTTGAACCCAGGGCCTTGAGGGTATTTTGCACCAAGCTAGTACTATACCACCTGAACCACAATTCCACTTCTGATGTTACAGGAGTTTGCAGGTAAGAGTCTCATGGACTTTACTGCCTGGTCTGGCTTCAAACCATGATCCTCACTTCTCAGCCTCCTGAGTAGCTAGGATTACAGGCCTGAGACATCAGAGCCCAGCTGACATTCTTTATTTAAGTAAATATTTATTAAATATGTTACATTT